TATTACTGTCTCATTATTAATCTTTGGTGTGATATCTAGCGAAAACTTTATTCAGATTTTGATAAAGGCTGTGACGCGTATTCGGATGACCGTTTCCGACGGCATATCGCGGGTATCAGATTACGTTGTTTCGGTTTTAGAATACTCCAACCTTTGTCGCTCATTATGAACCGACCTCTGTGGTGGGAAAACACGCCTTTTCATCGAGCCCTTGGCCTACATGAATGAAATGCTGAAACCAGTGTTTTCAGGTCCAGAGGAAGTCTAAAATCTACATGGCAATTAAGTTTATTGCAAACTGTTGTAGCGCCCAGCCGTCCGTTGGGCTTTCCGCGTGCCAGAAGCGGCGGGCTTCCATTATGGTGCTCTCTTACTCTTGGGGAAAGTTGATGGAACATGGCAGTGCAGCGTGACTTCCCATCAACCATGTTTTCCTTCCGAGTGCTATCGCAGTCTAATCACTGGATGATAGTCGTGATCTCAAATGCAAGGCTCGGGCAGAAAGGAAGAAACTAGAAGTACCGGAAATTGAACCGGGATCAGATCGTGACGCTATAGTCTCCATTCGGGAAACCCGGTCACTGGTTCTGCTGCGAGCCACAACTTCTTGATCCACAAAGAGGGGGTCACGGGTCTGGAAATTGAGGCAGGAAACCCAACCGGGCCAGAGAGGTGTTGTCACCGCGATTCCCAGCGCCGCAAACACACGGCTCATGTTGCTTTTCAGGGAGATCAGTACCCTCCAGCGGATGTAAATGACTCACTGGCAGGACCGAAGGTTGAAACGGCAGCAACACAATAATACAGGAAACAACGTGTATCAGTTCGAATACCAGACAGGTACATGCACATTTTTCACATTGAGAACGACTTCTTTGGTCGCAAAAGTCTTCGCGTCTATTGAGGTTTAATATTCATCTACTGTATAAAAAGTAGGCCTATCGAATATTCGCGTCTATCGCCTATCTGAGGCTTAATACTCCTCGACCGCGAAAGAATCAAATATTCTCGTCTATCCGCCCTCAGCAGAAGCACTCCCTCATCAACTGAAAAGAACCATGATAGCATTCATTCTGTTGGTAGAGACTAGCGATGCGACTGCAACGCTTGCGTCGTTCGTGAACCAGCGATGCCCAATTACTACCAAAGGAGCCTCCGTATATCTCTCGGCTCCGTGGAAATGAAACTGAGGGTATACGGGGTGCAAAGCTACATGCCTGGTACTCGGTTCCAGTGTCAGTAACATCTTGCAATAGATTAAGGCAGTTGCGTGGTGTCCATACGGATAGTGCACATTTCTCGTCCTTAAGGGAAATACGCTTTCACCCCTGGGCTTAAGATTAGCTCTCATGATAAACACATGCTACATGCTGCTGCGCAGATGGTGCATGGGCAGACAATATTACACTTTTAGCCTTCAGGAGAAAGGCGCCATATTTCAGAGATAGCATCAATAGGATGGGTGAGGTCACACAGATTTTCCCTCATTTTCTCGGTGCACAGGGGGAGAAGCCTGTGTATTCCTATTGTTTGAGAACACTTGGTGGCGCTGTCACCCATAGTCATCCAGGAATACTGGGTAACTTCGAATATTTCGTCAACCACCGGTCGTTTTGCCCGGTGCCCACGTTATGTAGTGCAACGGATACCAGGGAAAATCGACCAGTGGTTGGCAAATGGCCTTCGCTCGAACTTGTCCAATGGCATTCAATTTTGTTGAGGTTGGCGGTGCGTCAGATTCAGAACTGTTTAATGCCAGTTTCAGTAAATGGGTTACAAAACTTGTGTTGGTCTGTCTGAGACAAGTGAGATCTTTTTCTGAATTTTCGAAATCCTTGCTACTGGTGCCGCTAACCTCCTATAACAGATACTGCTGCAATCGTTGCTGCAGATTCTGTTGCTGTTGGACGTTACTGTCTGCTCCGAGCAGGAACAAAAGAGGGTGTGTTTTGAAATGAAACTGACAGTCATGTGGTACTCACACACCGCGTAGGTGCCCAAGTTTATGCGCGTTTGACGCGGAGCACGCTGAGTACGCGCAACAATGTTAGTCTATAATGTGTGGTCTTCGCGCGCACGCCGAACACGTGCTAGAACTCTGTTGGAAATCTTTGTACCATCTGTCTTTCTTTCGCCGGTGAGGGTGCACTTCAGCTCAGGGCGGATACACCTAATAATAAGCATCATATAGCATGGTGCTTAGATCTATAACATCAGTACCAACTCTATCGTTAGGACGGTCCCAACTATAGTTGCAACGGTCCCAGCTGTGGTTCTGAAAGTGGGCTGTCCCAACAGACGTCAGAAAGTTTCTATATTAAGACATTTCTCAACCTCCTCCACGTTTTTGCGGCTTGAGAGAATTCCTAAAATAATATGGCATTTCACCCTGACTTAAATGAAAACTTAGATTCCAACGGCATGCCTTGCTGGCAAACGAAATGACATTGGCACGTAATCTGGCTTACGCGCGCGCACACTGCCTTAGGCCGCGTCCAAAACGGGCTTCCAGAGCTACGGCTAGGTCTACTGTTTACGCGTCTCCACGCATTTCCAATGGAGTCGAGACCTAGACCAATCTCTAGACAAGAGATTCAGATGCAGCCTTAAATGAGCCAACCCTTATAGTTGCTATCCGCTCCGAGCGGAACAACAGAGGGCGTGTTTTTAGTACTCACCACAGACATATAAACACATAGACCACCATGTCCTATTCAAAACTACAGTTTTTTGTGTGATCTGCGCGGTGCCCGTCTAAAATCAAAACTATGGGTAAATTCGCCCCTCGGTATAGGGAAATTACGCACAGTTGAAGAATTCCAGTCATAAAATTCTACGAAGCCATTTTCCGATTGTAAAAACCCCTCTATTTACTTAATCTGGCCCCTAGGGACTCAAACCAATGCAGTTGCAACATCTGAAAAGAAGAGTTAGCAGTGCAGTAGAGCAAAAAAGGTGAACGCGTTTTGGGAGAACATGTAAACAAATACAGGTAATGTAACTGCGCTGCGCGTAATGCGCACTGGACGCGCTGCCATCAGTCACTTCGCTCATTGTTTGCCCATACTTTTCAAAATCACGGTTTTACGCGCAAGATTGGTGGTCTATGCGTTTATATGTCTGTTGTATCCATTGATCTCCATAATGGAGATCAATGTACTCACCGCATAAGTGCGCCATGAATGAGGCGCGCAATTATATGCGCGTTTGACGCAGAGCACGCTGAGTACATGTTCGTGTAAATAATTTATTCCGGCATGTATGGTCTTTGCGTACACGCATAACGCGTGCAAGATCCGCTTGTAACCACCTGTCTTTCTTACGCCAATTGGGGGTGCACTTCAGCTCGGGGCGGATAGTCTCGGCATAACAACGCTACTCCTGTGCTTATAATGCTGTTGATAAATGCCTGTATCATATTAACATCCATTCTTCTCAAAAAGAGCTTTAGAAAATAACTGCAGCTACCCACAAACACGCACGGCAATTGTCGAGAGTCTCCTGTATTATTCCAACACCTATATACTTCCAGAATGATCTTTAAATTACACCTTCCCTCTTTATCACAATGTTGCCCGCAGCTGGGGGCATCGATCGACAGATAAGAATATTGGCCCTGGTGGATCGTGCGGAGAGAGCCGTCTGTTGTGCTGCCGAATCAATGAAGCCTCATATCTTCTATGGGAGTATGAATTATGTTCAGTTCTATAGCTATTCCTCTCACAGCCGTGGTATGTCAAGCGTATTCAGAGAACAGGAGCCGTAGATAATGCACCACGCGCCAAAGTCAGATTATGTCACGCAGAGCAGAAACAATGCTATTCTGACCGACTTCATCTTGTTGTCTTTGATGTGAATGTTTTGGAAAGGAATGACTCATGATTTGTGTCCATTCAAACAAAGAGATGTATGAGTGAGTATCATATTTAACAGGAAAAGCATAGAGGTACAGTGTACCCATAGACTATAGTAATCCCCATGCTTAAATAGCAGTACATTAAAAAAAGAATGGGTGGGAAAGGCTGCGGATTACACAGAGGATTTACACAGATTACCGACACGTATTTCTCCTTTCTTCAAGTATTGCTTCAAGTATTGCTTCAAGGAAAATATCAACAAAGCTCTTGAGTGCATCGGGCATGGCTTAAAAGGTGTAGGTTTCAACACGGCTTGGGAAAATGTCATCGTTTGCGCTGCTCGTGTCATGGACGTCGTCAGTTTCTCTTCTGTGGTAGATCAGTTCTTATTCCCTAACGACTCACGGCAAAACCTATTTGCCGAAGAAAGAAATTACTTTTCTAAAATCTATCCAGAAAGTGTAGATTGTGCTCTTTTAGCCGACCCTTTCGGTTGGTGATTTGTTTTTGCATAAACTAATCTGAGGAGGCACCATTACTGTGGCGGCACACTTTCTTTATTACACAATCGTCTGGGGACAAACCATGTTCTTTCCTATGGGGAAAATGGTTCTTGAAAGGAGACTATTTGTCATGCCTCGTTGAAGCTTCCACTGTTGAAATGTCGCACTGTACTTTCCTTAAATACAACAAATCCTCCAGAGCCACGATTATTGTAGCCTTTTTTTCAAGTTGAGTTTCCCTAGTGTTTTGTGTACAAAGACATTTTGCTGCCGCCACTACATTAAGCCCCTTTTGTGCGCGTTCTTCAACTAAAAACGCGCATTTTCAAAAAAAATCATGATGCTTGTAGGCCTACTTTGTCAAGGAAGCACGCAAGGGGCGTGCACATTACATGTATGTTCTGCCATGGTTCCCTTACGGTTACGGCTACTCATTCGGGCGGCCTGGTCACTCAATAGAAGGAATTGGTTTTTCGATAGATTGACTTGTCTATAAAAGGCTATAAAATTACAGTCAAGCAATAGCTTTTCTAATCAGCTCAGAAAATACTTCTTGGGAAGACCATCAAGATTAACGGCGCCTCCTTAGTTATATGTGATTGTTAATACTGTTGCCGTGGAATTTATTTTACTTTAACAGAGGTCAAATCAACGGATGGCGACGAGATTGAAGCAGGCACCGAAGACAGCGTAAGCTTCGCTGGCGACGCGCCCCTGGCGACCGGCAGCGAGGACCCGGACGGTTCCTGGACCCCCGAGACGTGGAGCGACGCCGGCAGCTACAGCTCGGAGGACGACCAGCCCTCGGACCCGCCAGGAGCTGGGGATCAAGGTAGAGCGACCGGGAATGGTGGGATACCGCTGGGGGACGACCCTGGGCCACCGGCCGACGGCTACCCGGTAATGGTGTTCATACACGGCGACGGATTCAGGGAGGGATCGGGGAACATGTACGACGGTAGCGTGCTGGCCAGCTACGGTGGTGTCATTGTTGTCACTTTTAACTACCGATTGGGAATTCTAGGTGAGCTTTTATAAATGTTATTTTCGTGGCTTACGCTTTTAAGAGGTGGACGTCGAACTCTGACCCATCAACCATATCTGTTAGCTTCATGCAAAACTATAACAGTGACGACGTAACGTCTTGTTCCTGAACCAACGTCTTGTTCCTTAACCATCAAAGGCCAAAAACTGAAGGACAGTCTCAAGGAACCATCACGTACAGTTAATGCCAATCTGTGCATGGTTCCCCCGGAAAATATCTGCAAGAATGGGCAAGAGAATGCCAGAGCCAGTCGTTCAGTGCAGATGCCTTTCAATTTTACAGACAAGGCCAAACCCGGAGTGAGAAAGAGTCACTTTGGGCAAGTCCTCCCCCTTCCTATCCCGACTCCGCCCACGTTAGACCCACCACCGATTCCACCTCAAAATTGCAATTGTATGAAGCAGCTGTTTGCACATTAACCCGTAGAAACACATTTACAAGATGCGATTACAGAAAGTGCTTCTTTGCTCTGTACTTCTCCAGCGCACGGATTTAGATTTTTTTTTCATTCTTGCGTAGAGAGAAGTGTGATTTACTGCCACTATAACGACCTCATCCAACCGACTACTCCATCGCCAGGGTATTTCGAACGAGTGATAGATGACGCTGTCAATTTAGTTATCATGCGACCGAGTCTCGTTTATCACTTGCCGCGTCCCCACCGCATCTCACCGCATCACTTCATTGGCCAGACGAGCCTGTCACGCTTCGTGCATAACCCAGTCGCTTGATCCACATCTGTCTGAATTACGTTGATGTCTCAAGATACGCGTATGCGCTGGGTTGCTTCGTCTGGAGTGGGGAAATATAGTCATCTGTCCGCGTGCAGAAATGAGGCTGGCTTTTTTTAATCGACGGAGGCACATTTGCCTTCTGCATAACTTTAATCTCTTGTCTCTCTGTCGGTTTCTGTTATCATGCTTTCTCATAGTAGTTAATTTCGTACACGATGTTGTCTACCTGTAAAAATGAAGATAGTGTTTGACGTCCCCTTAGGACTCCGAGTACGAGAGCTACCTCAACAGTAAGTCGAGGAGAGAGTGATGGAGTACTGACTCTGCACTCCAGCGATATTCACACGAAGACGCCCGGGTTTTGTGCACGTTCAAATGAAAACTGATGGCGCGTCCCCCGCAATATGCGGGCAAATCAGTGCGTGCCAGTAGTGTGCCCCCGGCGCGCCCACGTTATAGTGATCGCTCAACGTCATTCATTACTCCTGCTGAGGAGTTCACTGTCGCGAATGTCGGCGCTATTAATGACAGGCAATACCCACGATTTCCCGGCGATATTAAAGTTGAAAAATGGCTCGTGCTGTCGTGCCTCTTGTCTATCATTAACTCTGATTGCACAGAAACCTCACTGCAATATCCCCATCTTTGCCCGTGTATCAACTGTCCAGGTTTTCTCAGCACTAATGACGGGGCGGCCCGAGGAAACTACGGCCTCCTGGACCAGATATTGGTATTGAAGTGGATCAACCAGAACATTCGGGTCAGTTGTCGTTCAGAAAAAGGTCTCTTAGGATTTTCTCAGATGTAAAAAAGAGCACACCCACGTTTTATGTATTGTTACTTTTTGCAAATGCAAAGGGGATTTTTTTTTCAAATTCCATTTTCTGTACATTAATTCCTCCCCAAGAACATATCGAAAAATAATGGTAATCTAACTTTCCATCCCAAATTCAAGTCCTGGTTATGCCCTTACCCAAAATAAACATGTTCACTATCAATTACTGATATTAGGTCCCGCCAACTATGGTTGACAGCAATCATCTGAAATTGGAACTGAGATGTACCATTCGATGAACCGAAACCAGACAGTTTCTTCAAACTGAAACTCTGGGTGACTATTTTCCCGGCCGAATTTCTTCCAAACAACCTCTAATTCAGCAGACTGGAAAAAAAAATTGACAGAGTACGATGTCACCCGGTTTCCGGGAGAACAGGGGGAGGATCATGTAATCATAACGGCGATTCAGCTTGCAGCCAATGATTCGCTGCTGTAGAGCATTCTGATCAGGTACATTTCTTCAAGCAAGGCTAAGTTCATTCAAATTCAGCATGTTTGTCTCTGTCGTTCTTTCCTCGTTGATCAGACTTTTGGTGGGGATCCCAACCACGTGACTGTGTTCGGTGTCGGTTCAGGGGCAGCGTGCGCCGGGATGCTGATGGTGTCGAACATGACTTCAGGTACACCTGTTTAATAACTGGACAGCGGTAGCTCTCATTCAAACCTGGGAATGTTTGATGAAATACCGCATTCAGTAAAGTACATAGTGTCTTTTGGCCTCTCTGGATATGCCCAGACCACCATGTTTGTCTCTGATGGGTAATCGACACTGAGAAGTTCAGCTAGCTGCCAAACAACCACGGCAAAATCAAACACCGTCTATAGGGTCTCATTCAAGAGCAAATATTACATATATTCAAGCTCTCATAGCCTCGACACATTTGCTGTTTCATATAAACTGAACATATTTCCAGTATCTCTTCAAAGGAGATACGCAGACAAATTCGATTTGAGTCAGTAGCCATGAGGACCCATCATGTTGGGCTTAACTAAGACGATGTGACACCTGTGATATTTTAGGGTGGTCATTAAGAAAACCAACTTTGTGTCAAACTTGGTCAGATGTTTGAGGAATAGTTTACAAATCTGGCAAATCTTTTTGGCATCTCTTGTTTTCGTAAAGGTCTGATATCGGGAGTCATTGCACACAGTGGCTCGGCCATCGCCCCCTGGGCAATCACACGGGAACCTCGAAACTTCGCCAAAATGGCTGCCACCAAGATCGGCTGTGAAGCTCCAACCACCTACCAAATAGTGGATTGCTTACGGCAGGTAGGCAGTGAAAAAAAACAGTGTGAGGCCGCTGACTGAGCAACAATCGCCAATCATCATCAAAAGCAATAAGCCATAGGCGGACAATGAGGGCGCCCAAGCAAGTCAGAAGCGCATGTACACAACCTGCACGGTTAAAGGGGTGGGATTGTCGGGGAATATTATGTTGTCGCGAGGGAATTTGAAGAGTTTCGACACAGAGAACTGAAAAAATGTTCAGTATTTCACTTCTTGTACATAACAACAAATGTACTTACAAAGTTTACAAAATTATCCAGTCTCAAATTGACCTACAGGGGATAATAAAGTAATTAGAGCACTAACTACTTCATTATTACCTACACAAGGTAGGTTTCCCCCTCTGACAAAATTAAACTTTCTTGCAGGCAATTTTTCATTAAGTTAACTGGTAAACCTAAATTAAGCGGCTGATTTTTATATCATTTCTATGCGGAATTTCAGGTCAGACCAGAGGAGTTTCAGCTCTTAGACGTGGAGGCACCGCTCTACTACAATGCTTTCGCCCCCGTGGTGGACGGCGGCGTCCTGGAGGACGACCCGGCCGTGCTCTTCGAGGAAATCGCCCGGGGGGAGAGGAGGCCCAGCTGCACTGGCTGCGCCTTCATGACCGGAGTGACGCGGAGCGAGGGGTTCGCGTACGTGGGCGAGGACGCGGACGGGGCCGGCAAACTTGACCCGATGGTATTCAACCACATCCTGGACGGCTTCGTGCAGAACAACTACGGCGGCAATATGCATGCTGGGTAGGTATCCGCTTTGAGAAAAAAAGCACCCCCTCATTGGTTTGAAAAGAGCCAGGCTGGCGGGGAGTGTTCGTTTTGTTGGTGGCCAATGCGTACGCAATGCATGTATTTCATAGTTGTTCATGAACCAGGAGTCTCTGTTACCAGGTAATTCGCGCCCTCTCTCGGTGCCGCTCGGGGTTCAGACACTAGCTGCCCAAACTGGAGGGACAGCACCCTAATGTGGAAACATCACTGAATCAGAAAGGGGCTTAACCTGAACTCTCTTCCCTTTCTGATTTCCCTCTCTCCGCTCCCTAACCCATCCCGGCTCCGCCTCGCAAAAATTAGGTCTCCAGAATCCGGACATAGCTCTTGAAAATGATTGATATATGTGGCTATTTACTTAAGCAAGCTGTGAGTCTAGACTGTTCTTTTGGAAGGGTGCTTTACCAAATTTTGTCTTTCATTCGCAAACCCGACAGGAACGTCATTAAGAAGGCGATTTACTACGAGTACATAGACTGGGGCGGCGGTGAGGGCAACCCCTTCACGCTGAGCGAGAGCGCCATCGACATAATCTCGGATGACCTCTGGGTCACACCGGCCATACAGTCGCTCAAGATGACGGGCAAGATGGGGCTGGGGTCGTACCTCTACACCTTCGGCCACCGCTCGAAGATGGACGTGCACCCGAGATGGGCTGGTGAGGTTTAGATGATTTGGGGGGTCGTGTTTGGACCATTGGGCAAGATCGCTAACAGGGGTCCTTCCACTGACCTGAAACACACTGACTAGCTCATCAAGAACAACTTGCCAGTCAAAATCTATATGCACAGTCATGCAGTGTTCATGTTTTAAGTTATACTGTTGGTGTTGCTCTTGCACCAAGATGTCAAAGATCGGTGAGAACCAAAGATACAATAATATCAGAGCTTGCCTGGTGTTTCTTTCTCCATCTCAGGATCTGTTCACCTGTCGGACATGCCGTTTATCTTCGGGGCACCCCTGGTGCCGGGTCCCCTGGGCATCTTCATGGAGAACTTCACCAAGGGGGACGCCTCGGTCAGCCTGGCAGTCCTGACCTACTGGACCAACTTTGCCAAAACAGGGTGGGTCATTCGCGGTCGGCAACCCCTTGATAAATGCTGACAAGGCGTGCGGGTGTTTACAATGATTTCTATGGTTCTCTTCTGACTCGGTTGGTCATCAGACTGATAACATAGCACGCTCCATCTTGTCAGTCCAAAACTACTCTATGAAGATGGATGCCACATTTTTGTATTTCAGACATCTTCTAAGATCTTGTCAGAAGTCAAGACAGATTTATTTCCAGTGTTTTCATAAAACCAAATATCAAACTCCTGGGACGTTCCAGATCCTAGTTGAGTCGTGCAGATTTCTACGAGTCAAAGCAAGAGACTTACAGGCTCACCTGTCGTAGGTTTAACACCCCAAGGGTTTTGGAACAGAGGGTGATCTCCCTTGTACATGTATTTGACTACGTTAATTTGGGGATGTGGAAATGTGTAAACTGTGATGTCTCCCGAGTTCAGATATGAGTTTCAAAAATGAGGGTTTGTTTGATAATGAAAATCTAAGTTCTTCAAATATTGACTGAGACACCACAAGACAACGTTGAGGAAATTCTGCCATCAAAGTTTCTTTAAGAGGGAAAACTTTGACAGTATCTGTTGGAGTTTACATAAATGTAAGTAATACCGTTTTTTATGTATTTCATGTTTACTTTAGGAACCCCAATATGCCCGTGCCACAGACGCCCAGGAAAATCCACCGCCATTACAAGGTCAGCTTCCCGTACGAGACACTGGAGCCCTGGCCGGCGTACACCGAGGGAACGCAGGAGTTTATCCATATTGGGATCTCTCCCAGGATCCGCGATTTCTATCGGCTGCACAAGATCTCCTTCTGGGAGGAGCTGGTGCCAGAGATAAGCAAGGCCTTTCCAGCCGACGTGATGCCGCCTTACGTGATACCCACGCTCCCCGCGCTGAGCATGGCGACCACCACGGCCGCCTCCGACCCGCTGACGACTCAAGCGGCTCCCAGGACCACGGTAAAGAAGAAGGACACCAACAAGATTCCGGGCAACGCGCCCACAGCGTCGCCGGCAGTGTCACCGACGATGGGCAACGAGATTCCCCTGGGCCCCGTCAAGCAGGACGAGCCCTCTGAGGGGAACTTCACGGTGGAGCTCAGCGTTGTGATCGCAGTGGGCGGCTTCCTCTTGCTCGTCAATGTCCTGGTCCTGGGCGCCATCTACTACATGCGGGACCGGCGCAAGTTGGAGACCAAGCTGGCCGCCAAGTACCTGGCACAGCAGGAGGAGCGGCGGCAGCAACAGAAGATGTCCGAGGGAGCAGGCAGCCGGCTAGCCGCCGCTAACAACCACGGTACGGCCTCGCCTGCCCACCGTGGACTCAATCAGAACATGAATAGGAACAATGTCACCTTTGGTAACGACGTCATCGAGTTCCAAGTATAATCTATGTACTTCAGGGGCCAAGGATACGGGCGATTCCCAATACAGTGCGCCACGAAGAGGTTGACACGGAAGGGCCTTTTTTTGCAGAGCATGGAAATGGTCGACATATTAGCCGGCTGCGTACGCGGTGCTTCAATTTTTCCCTATGTTTGTTTGTCAAGGAAGCCGCCTCTATTCAGTTTGTAAATGCTGGGCGATGCTAAATAGCCAGAAATATATCCTTGAAATTTTACAAAGAAGGTCGCGAATCGCAGTCCTGTTTTTAACTGGCTTCCTTGATGCTCGAACCTGGTAATGTAACGCCGCGGACTCAGAGGTTTCCAAACTAATATCGGTCCACCATTTGATTCCGGATCCTATACTAATATGAAAATCAAACTTTTCATATGGTTGGAACAATGAGACCTTTCCCGGCGCTGGAGGATGTAGCCGTCGACAATGCCACCATTTGGGAGAATGCCTGATCCCTTCAGCACAGCGTCAAGTGCCATTCACATTGCAAAAAGCTGCGGTGTAGATTTTACATCCTTGGTATCTCTATAGACCCTGTGGACACCGAGGGCGCTGATTTAATACCAATTTAAAACCACAGTTGAAGTGTTGAGGGGTGTTTTCACGTATCTGCATCAAAAGCTGTTGCGGAAAAGTGGACACTTTGTACCTGACTGTCTTTCTCCCATCTGCCCTCCTACATCAGTAACTCTTACAAAGACCGGCAGGTTTGATCGTTTGCACACTCAGTCCACGATCGCACAACACGAACGGTTTTAACTCCAGATGAACCTGTGCATATACACGCCTGTGAACCTCGGCAGGGTTAAACTGGTGCGCTTCCCACCTCAGCTGTCAGCTTAGGAGTTAATGTTTGGTATTGTTTCGATGATCACCGCGACTTAAAGGAATGTTCCAAAGAATTTGCACCCTTTTTCATTGGTGTCTCCACAACTATTGTAACAGTGACCGTCACGTTTATGTCAGTTAAAGTGAATGATCCTTTTGACTCGGTACTACAGTAGTTTCCAGAAAGTGGCCGTGTCTTTCTTTTCAACTTCACTGAAGCAGTTCTATGGGAGTATCAGGTTGTCAAATTTGAGGCCAAATTTTGGAGTCGTTTCGCTCGCTCCAAACGGAGGCCTGCATGCTTCAAACTGACTGCAGAGCCAGAAATTAGAGAGGGGAAAAATCTGAAGATTGTCCGCCTCTGTCAGTGTTTGAACTGTGACTGACCTGATTGAGTGCTCTTTTAGAAACTGTGTCCCCCCCTGCAAAATGTACCCCAGTTACGACACCGAATGAAGCCTCAAAGGAGAAAAATGGGGTTTCGGTAAAAGGCCCATACACATGTCTCTGTTGAGTAGAAAGGTGCGTTTCGAGTCAACTCGGAAAGAGGAGTCGCCATTCACTGTAACAGGCCTGTAACGTGGTACTTCATCCAACGTGCACGCAGTGATAACTTGCAGCACAAACATGACGCCTCACTTTTACACCTTTCTTTGCAGTTTTCCTGGGATTTTGTTCACCACTTTCTCCACGTAGACTGGAAATGTGCAGTTTGGAAACTGCTGTGTTTCCTAATGCCCTGGGCATTTTGTTTTCAAAACGAAAAATCCTTTGAAAAAGCCCGATCTAATAAGCTACAGTCACAGAAAATACGTCTCGGGAAGTAGTGTTCCGTGAAATCATTCAAGCATTAAGGATAATTTATATAACGGGTTTTGCCCTTACCCAACGTATATATATTAATAAACACTGTATGCTCAGTGCTTGTCTGAGAGCTTGCAAAAAAAGTCACAAGCTTACTCGGGTGGGACTCGAACCCACGACCTCCTGCTTACTAGTGCAGACGTCTTAACCACTCGACCACCGAGCTTGCCGGGGTCGGCTGGCATTAAGGATAACATAGTACCCGCTCTTTCTCTGCCACATTCGCATATATTGTGTCTACTAGACGCTGGTAGAACTGTGGCTGGCCTAAGTTTCGCCACATTTTTAACAAAAGAACAGTTCATTCAGTGTTCAAAATCTCACTGACGCCGTCATCAGATCACCAACTGTTAAACCCTATACTACATGTACTAAATACTGAAATTTGAATGGACCTTTAGTAATAGACAGTACGTAATGAGGTGATATTTCTCTTACCTTTAGCCGCCTATAGGAATTGAGCCTTTGCAAGGTAGCCATCTTGCAAGGCAGTTCTCTAGTTCAACAGGGAAACCTCCTTTGTGCATACCCTGCCGAACAACAGCACTAGCCTGCAAGATGGTAGCCATGCAAACCTTTTATACAGTAGGCAAGTGGAGAGAGGTCTTTAAGCCTAATGCTTGCCATCAGTCATGTTATTGCCCGCCCCTTCCACTGATAATACAGTCACATTCTCCATAGCATTGTGCCCAACAATGCTAGATTACACGAAAGTTGAAATCATTCGCTTTTTTGGCACTTTATACCAAGTTCTCAGGGCTGACCATCATTTATCATACTCTAAGGATTAGGAGCTCATTCAGTCAAATGTAACAAGCCGCAATTAATGTTGGGTGTAAGCCTGTCAGCCATTATACTTTCACGGGTGTAATTACTAACCCAACTGTTTGAACATTACAAGATATGGAGGGCCTGACGTTTCGATCCAAGCCGAATCTTTCTCAAAGTCAAACTGACAAGTGGACCGGACAAACAAGCACACAGGGAATCAACCAAGCATTGGTGAATGCAAGAGGACAAAAGGAAAGGTCAAGAAAGCTGCAGGCTGGATAAAGGGGCAAGGGGCAAAGGGGACTGCACGGAAGGCATGGTTGAGCAACAAAGGGATGTAAGGTTGGAAAGAGATCAAAGAAAAATACAATGGAACGAACTGGACCCCAAGTTGGGGGGGGGTGAAAAGTTTGGAAATTGAATAAGGATCCAACACGGAATTTAGCTTAGAAACTGGGTTACCTTTTCAACTGAGACAATTGTTCACAGCCGTTGCAACTCCTTTTTGGACGGGGTCCCTCGCTGTTCATCAGGACTAGGTCCTCGTTCATTTTCTGAAAAAGAGAAAAATGTAACCCCACCCAGAAAAAATTACTCTCAAACCATTTGCCATTTATTTGAGCTGTAATATTTTTTCATTGAAATTTTATGCACTGTCTGTGTCTTTATAATTGTTCATTCTTATGTAAAATTTGTACATTGTGTAAATAACTTATAACTGCGTACAACGTTGCGCGTTCTTGCAACGTTCATTGCAAGATATGGTCTTTTTTATATACAACTCGGTTGAAATAATCAAAATACTATTTCTACAAGTCGCACTAATACTAAATGTGTACCTATTTGTCTTTTTTATATCTTGCTTTGCCTATTATATAGCTGTGAAACTTTCGAAGGAAATGTTTATTGCATTGCGGAACGTGGAAGTGGATCTTTTGTCGCCTGCGACATCAAAATCATCAACGCATCCCTTCATTATCTGACTTCAATCTTAAGTCAAATTCCATTCTATCCGTAGAGGCAATCGCAGCGTGTAAGCAGTACCCGTTATTTGTGTAAGTTTGTACCATTAATGAATGCGTGTTTGGGCACATGATTATAAACCAATTCGCTGCCTGTGATATGTTTGATATGAATTTAAGCTCAAATATGATGTTACACCGTGTATTAAGTCCCAATTCGCATGGGGAGCATTGATATTTATCATTGTCACGAGATTTTTAAAGCTATGCAAATATTACCAAACCATACTGTGAAATGTTCAGTGTAAGTTGCCGTGCGTGAGTTGTGCTAAAATGCCGTATATATTGTACTGTGTGACCTCTACTGAAGAATATTATTAAAGTATACATACCAACAATATGCCTATACAAAAGGTTTATGCGTCAATGCTCAATTCTGCTTTGTACAATCTGTGATATCTTTGGCATTTTATTTGGAAATCTTAAACGTACTTTGCATCAAACAACAGGCCAACCCCAGTTTATGGTTAAACATACGGAGCCTTTATCATAGTCCTTCAGGCCCAAGCATTTGAGCATTCTTCACAATAATTACTATCACTTGGGCCTCAGCTTGTTAACGTTGAGTGTTGAAATTCTTCAGAATCCTCATTGTTTGGATGGACTCTTTTCCTCATGTTAAATTTGCCGTCCTCTTCAAAGTCACAGATACATTAGTTGGGAGACGTGCATGATATTTCTGTCTGCCCCTCGATCTCAGATAGAAAATGTGACGAGCATGCGGTGACCATGAGACGCCATACACGTACAATGTAGCAGGGGTGGGTCGAGGGTCGAGCCCCCCCCCCCCCCGCGCTCTGAGACCAAAAGAAGGGGGAGGGAAGACGGGAAAAAATAATTTTAAAAACTGAAGTACGTGCACCAATACCATTGTAAAAAAATATGCCATGTATAATATTCCATCATCATTGTGCGTGTCCAAAAAATGAGATAATAAAAAATTCTCCAGCCTGAACCCCCCCCACGGGAAAAAGTCTGGATCTGCCCTTGCATAGTTCACCGTATACCGAAATTCTGAACGCAAATTTCACAAGTCGGTTCCAAAGTTCCCGCTGAAGTGGTCTTCTCACGTTTCCAGCAGAGGGATTCAGGTGACGCCCCCCCCCCCCGCCTAGGGCCGCGACCTGCATTCCAGGCCTAACTTGCACACCGAGCTAGTAAACATGGGCCTGCATTTATATTTATGGGGTCTTACAATGTAAGACTGAATTCTCCCCTCAAAATTGGGATACATTCTTACAATTCTCCAAGGTCTTTGAGACACGCACCGAAAGAAAGCTAATTCCATCGAGTTTTAATTACTGACCAGTTTGGAGGGATACCCAATAACCAGGAGAAAGATTTTCCTCCGAAATGGAGGATCTCGTTTAGGAAGGCCCGTGATCCCGAATGCAAGTCTTGACATAGGCCTAAGTGCCCATTGCAAATTGCGACCACTCAAACCACTCGAAAATAAAGCACCATTGTATTAGGGTCCAACTTCATCTAAATTTCAAAGAAATAATAGGGCCCATGTCACATATTTTCGGAACAACAGCCAAAACCAACAGCAGCAACCCCGCAACACTGCGATGGTTGGTCTGCGCAGCGCCATCAACGCTCGACAGGTTTTGTCCAAAAACCCTAAAGTGCCTACCTGCCTAATATCAATTTGTACATAATTCGCAAGCTAACGTTGAGGCAAAAGTCTGCTCACCAAAGATATCCAACAAAAACAACAGATCCCATCTCGTTCTACAGATTTGTTTTAATGACATATGGTGGCTAACCTAGAAGAAGAGGAAATTGTTCACTCATTATGTGTTCGTGAAAGTGCTCGACTTCGACTTGGACTGGGATTAAGTTTACTTTTGCCTTATGTACGCACGTACCTAGTACATGTACTGTACATGTACATGTACCTGCATTTCGTATCCAAAGGCGTGACAGGCGCGCGAGCTAGGATGTATTGTGAAAGTGAAATCCACCAAAAACAAGCTTCAGATCGGTGGCTTCAGAATTCGTCACTTGAAGATAACACTCACATTTCATCGAGAGGGTGAGATGAAATGCACGTCTGAATGTAAAGCAGGTAGGTCAAGCATGCAGAGTGCACAGTCTTGCGCTAGTCATGCTTCAACAAGTGTTGCGTGTATGACGTGGCGCGGCACACGTGATTCCCTGAACTGGGGATATCGAGAACGAAAAAAAAATATTCAGAAACAAAACCAGGCCGATTTCACTCACTCTTCTGCCAGCAATATTCACCATGTTCATGTGGCAAAGACGACGTCTTCAGCCAGTGTGGAGGTCTCAAAGTGTAGCGAGCATTTTCCAACATTTTGCTGTAGACTACAGACAAGAAACGTGATTTCATTTCCGGTCAGATTGTTTGAAGTCTGAAACTAGACTGGCACAAGTCCAACAGTTTGAATATTGACTGAGCGTTACAGCATAGAGCAATATGCGTCTAGTTGAAGCCAGTAACGCTCTCAAGTCTCATCACTGCCCATTGACTTCTTCACGTTCTTGTAATAAGGCTTTTGTGGTGGTGGAATTTCCATCGAACCAAACACAATGAGACTATCGTCCAATGAAAAAAGTTGACCCAGATTAGTTCCTCTGCGTCTATGATCCAAGACCACACATGTAGCCAAGAGTGGAATACCCCGCCACCCGGTACCCGCACGATCAACCCCATAGCCAGGTGCAGATCAAAATGTCACACTCTTCTCAAGGGATTTTCACCTTCTACCCACGTAACCAGTCATTTTTTTAAGTGGCGGGGTATTCTGCAACTCCGGAAATAGTTATTTAAAAAGTGGAAGAGTTCTTTACGGGCAGCACTTCATGCCCCTGTGCACAAATAGTGTATATATGTGTGAAAAACTGAAAGAACGTGTTTGATAAGTTAATACTTTGGAAATTTCTCAGCTGAATTTCACTTTTTACAACATGTACTTTTTTGACGGTATAACCATTTTAAGGGAAAATTAGTGTAGCCCGTATATGAAACTCCCAACAAATGTAAATTTATATTAGGACTATGCTTTGACTGACAGACTTTTGGACGAGTTGATTTTAATTTTCACAGCACAAATAAACTTTTCTTGAAAAGAAAATCATATTTTTCTTGGGAGGGGTGGTCTGCTTTCAGTTTGTAATGTCCAGGGGGATGTTTTGAGAAGTATTTGGACATGTAGTTTGTTGGAGGACTGTCGCTGGTCTAGAGATGTAAAAACAGTTCTACTACTATATTTGCATGAAAGCTTGAGGACATTCTGTCGCATCTTTCCTCTTAGAGTGCACAGATTCAAAATTCATCTGAGTTCATTTCGTGTATACATTCCATCTTTTTCAGGATTGCCTTTAAATATGAACATTACTAAATGGGCATCGCCAGAATGAGTTGTCTCTGCTTGCGGCACCGTGTCAAAATTATCATCTTGGTGATTTCTGCCTGTGCTTTTGTCACTGTGGTGTTCCTGTACAAATCTGAGGAGTCGCATGCCAGACGGAGACTGGGGCCTCAACCATTGACAGAGTACCACAACCCTCTGGCCAGTACACTATTGCGGGAACGGTTTGTGGTGGGGCGAAACGGCACAAAAATCTGGCCCGCCGATCTCACAGAGGAAAAATTGTACGGAAAAGAAGGACAGGAGCTACTCAAGGAACGGGAGAGGTTGACCATCCTCGAACACGCTAATGTGTCTATGCACAATGACCGTATCAAGGGGAGGGATTCGGTCGTCGGCATTGGCAGCCACAAGAAGTACGAGATGAGGGCGGAGGTCCGAAAAGTGCTGGAGCAGAGAACGGTGAACGGAACCAGACGGGACAGGACAAAGCAGACGTGTCTGGTTCCCGAACTCAATCCCTTTGACGGGTCCATTCAGGCGCACATCAAAGAGCCAAAACCACTCAACTGCGAAGGGATCAGGCTCACTGAGGTCAAAAACAGGAGGCTGGTGCTGCGGAAATCTGTAACTCGAAAGATCAAGTACAGGACCTGCTACGTGTCGGCCATCAACAGAGTGAACGACTTTTTAAGTCTTGTTTCCTCACCGAGCAAGGTGAATGTTGATTATAATCCTCGCCCTGACAACAAGGACATTCCACTTCAGTATAACTTGTCCTCGGATTTTACAGTGGTGGTTTGCCTGGATGAGAAAGGCAACTTGACCGAGCACGACTTTGACGGTGCCTTTACTGATCTAAGGGATAACGAGGAATTTGATACCTTCTACAAGGCTAGTCCAGCTCTTTTCGATGTGCATGCCAGCGTGGTGCCCAAACCCAAAGTACTACAGCGGCTGCGTGACACCAAACCGCCCAGGGATGGTCTTGGAGTGAATGTAGTCATGCTGGCTCTAGAAGCAACCTCAAGGATGAATTTTTTGAGGCAGCTGCCTCTGACGACAGACCTTCTAGCCGAACTGGGGAGTGTCTTCCTTGAAGGATATAACATTGTCGCCGATGCCACCGCTGGAGCGCTGATCCCTATGCTGACCGGTAAGACCGAGCTGGAGTTGCCTGAGATCAGGAAGGGGGAGCCAGGGTCATCGTCGGTAGACGCGTACCCGCTCATCTGGAAGGAATTTGCCAAGAGCGGATATGCCACAATGTTTGCTGAGGACAGCCCAAGAATTGCCACCTTCAATTTACGCTTCAACGGCTTCGATGAACAGCCTACCGATCATTACATGCGGACGTTCTGGAATGCTGCCCAGGTCAGGAACAGCTGCCTTGGGCCACGGCCTGTCCATAGCGTGATGCTGGACCACCTGTTTGATTACATGGTGGCATACAAGGATAAGCCCCACTTTGCCTTCACATTTCTTGTCGGGCTGACTCACGCCAATATCAATCCGCTCAGGTTAATGGATGAAGACCTGCACGGATTTCTCGTCAGCGCTTACAGCCGGCGTCTCCTGAACAACACGGTTCTGTTCATGTTTGGCGATCACGGTTCACGGTACTCGGCGATCCGCAAGACGCTTCAGGGGAAGCTGGAAGAGCGGTTACCGTTCATGTCGGTCACTCTGCCCGACTGGATGCCCAAGCGATACCCGGACATAGCCAAGAACCTCCGGGCGAACACCAAGAGACTTGCCACACCATTCGACGTCCACCAGACCCTGCGTTCAGTGCTGCACTACAGCACGAAGCCTGTCAGCGTCAGGCAGCGTGCAATCAGCCTCTTCAGCGAGATCCCGCGTGAGAGGACGTGTGACCATGCCCACGTTGCCGCCCACTGGTGTTCCTGCTTGACCTGGGAGCCAGCTGGTGCTGAGTGGGTAAGGAAAAAAAAAATGGTCTTTTTACCAGAGCAAACAGAGCTAGCATGCCCCTTGACTGCTTGGAGTAATACGTGTACGTTCCGTGCATAAACACAGAGGACAATTTGTTGTCCTTGAATGATGATGACGAAACCCCACTTGCATACATGTAACATGTATACACAAATTGTGTAATGTTTACATTTCTGTTTATGGTGAGGTTTACAGCTCCCTTTTACTGCACGTATTCAAGCAAAAGCGCATTCTTGACCTTTGACCTTTCATGTTGTGAGGTTACATTCTGTGCACATGGCCTCCATTTTGCCCCATCTTTCGCTCTCAGTTCCTTGAAGGAGCAAGGCACACCCTTCGTCTCTTTCCAAATAGGCTTAGCCAGTAATAATCCATTGACCAGAGTAAGAAATATTACTGCTTTGAAATTAAATTCCCTCGCTGAAGTTGTTGTGACTTCAAATGGGCTCGTTGAGTTTCAGAACACTTGCCGTCACAGTCATGGTTTCTCCTGAGATTTCTCTACACAGGCACAATGTAACAAAACAGTTATCATCTGGAGTGATGTAAGACATGGGTTTTTTACAACCTGGGCAATGCATAGTACCCTCAGCTTCCTCACATGAGCAAAATGCCGTGTTCAATAGTGAAGCAGTCAGTGATGGAAACATTCGCATTGAATCTGCCCAATAAAGCATGTTCAGCAGTCCCCAATCCACCTTGAGTAGAAGCACCCCTTCACTGGTTGAAAAAAGCCATGTTGGTGAGAAGCGTCCATTTTGCTTGGTAGCCATGCTACCATATTCCTCATATTCATTTGTGAACTACATGCAGTGAAGTGCAGTACCTACCAAAGGTGTCTCCATTGCTAGGAAACTTGCGCCATCTTTTGGCCCAGCTCGGGGCTCATAGCAAGTTCCGCCAAAGTATGTGATCAAGTTAAGTTGTCGCGTGTTACAATGAGACCACATACGATACACTCTTGTTTTCTTTGCTGCATGCCTCTAATTGCCTCAAATGAGTTTGAAACAGTTGAACATTTCTCAAACACCAAACTGGAATCAACTATAACTTTTTGTTTTCCCATTTTGTCATTTGTTTCACATGTCATTCACAGGCGGGGCATCTTGCCTCTGCTCTCGTGGAGGGTGTCAACGCAAAGACGGAGCCCGTCCGACACAAGTGTGCCAAACTCCGCCTCAATGTGGCTCTGAATGCCGAGAGGATGGTCCCAAATGAACAGGTGTGGAACACTTGAAGCTATTTTTTCCGAATAATGTAATTTTCTGTTCTTCTCTTCTCTCCCCCTTTATCTTCTTTTGCCCCACCCACTCTCCACTATTGTTCTGTCACCTATAATCTTGGGCGAAATTCATGCTTGATAAGAAAGGTGAATACAAGGCATAATGATTTAAGGAAATCATTTGCTGCTACAGTACATGTAAATGCCGTTGGGTTGATGTGTGCTCAGCTTCTGTCAATGTTTACAGTGAATATTTGGTTAGAGCAAATACATACTTTGTGTGTTCTGTGCCCTCTACATTGCATATTCTGTAAATTACATTCATGCACGCACATGCATTTTAGCTGGGATGTTTCTGTGACCATAGTTCACTCTTTCACTCCAGTGCAGTTGTACACCAGTCGGTTCTGTGCACATTCCACCGAAATTGGGGGTACTTTGCACTTTGTTTTGCTTGGGGAGCTGAACAGTACCGTACTTGTAGACACGTCTTCCCTCGACCGTCATCAGTAAAGTCACAGCACCCTCTTTGTGTCTGCCCCAATAAATTTCTATCAACTCTGAACTCGGCTTCTGTTTTTTTACTCCAATCTCAGAATCTGAGACAACATCCAATTTACATGTATTTACATTCATTGCAGTCAGATTTTGCATCCAAATGATATGCTCAAGTACATGTACATGTGTTATCTTGAAAGGAACATATACATTTTATGCTAGGATTCACCCCATACTGAGCTTGTGAAAACGCAAAGATTGTAGCATCTCAAAAACTACCTTTCACATTGTGCGCAGGTCTTGCGTTTTGTGGACACATCCGATAACCATCGAGAAGCAAACTTCCATGACAACGCCACTGTGCGTGTCTCGGAGCTGCCCGTCCTCTACCAAGTCACCGTGGAAACCATGCCCGGCAACGGCCTCTTCGAGGGCACGGTCCGAGTGCTGCCGCAGAGCAAGGCCGACTTCATCGTCTATGAGCCGACAGGGGACATCAGTCGCATCAACAGGTATGGGACGCAGGCTGATTGCCTCCGACACTCACGACCAAACATGATGCCATTTTGCTACTGCAAAGACAATCAATCTCCAAAGCGGAAAATGTGATTCATGCCTAATAAGTCATATTTTTGCATCTCATCTAGAAGTCTAGGCTCAAGAACTTCATACTTTTCCCCCGTTCCCGTATTTCCCTCTTGGATAAAAATATTATTTTGACCTTACAAGTCTCTGCAAATGTTAATTCTACAATGCTTTCATTCCGTAATGTATTGTGTTTTGTAGCCAAGTTGCGATTCCTTTTGATTTGTTGAATTTCACATTGGAGATGCAGGATCATCATGATGCAAATTGCGCCCTCTGTTGACCAGTGCTATTCAGTGCACGTATAATTATGCATGATGAACACAATCTAAGTCATAACATCTTGGCAGTGTCGTATCTAGGCCTCGGGTCTGGTCAGGTCAAATGACCGTCCAAGGTTTCTCAACCCTCAGGCTCCTCATTAACCCCCCCCCCAAAAAAAGGGTGTAAGTTACGTCTCTAAAATGCTGGCACTTTCAATTTTTTTGAAAATAATCAAAAATGTAACTTGTCTTCAAGGAAGGGATAGCACTGCCCCACACGCACCCCGGATATGCTTCTGCATCTTGGCCAAGACTGCTCATCTAGAAGCACACCGATCCACTTTTTCACAAAATAAATTGCACCTTACCAATCTGAACAGGAAAAAACTTGTCAAATATTAGGTGAGATTTGACATCATTTGCTGATGAGAGACAGAGAGAGCATACTGTCCAAAACATGGAGTCCACCCGTTTCTTTTTAGAGATTACTCACAAAAGAGGAACATGTATATTCCAGGTGGTGTTACCGCAAGCAATCGCATGCATCATGATTATGAATCATCAAAGTCATAAAGTTATGACGTTTGTTTCAGTTTGCTGTATTTGTTGTTTTTGTTTTGTTTTTTACTGCAAGCATTTACTGCAGTCACGATGTCAGGGGTGAGATTATCAGAATCTCTCCCGATTTCAGGAATTTTCTTCAGGAATTTCATGATTTCCGGATTTTGAAACAGTCTCCTTTAAAATATGGAAAATCTTAAATTTACCATTCCAGGTATATTATCATGTGAAAGTTAATGTAGAACACAAGAAAGAAGGTATTTTATTGAGTGCTTTCCGGCAAACACAAATGTTTACCAGAGGCCCTCTACTGCTGTTGCGTCTTCAAAACCTCTGGTAGTTGTTTCATGGTTACTTAATTTTCCTCCAATTTCACCTCGGGTAATGCATTTGCATGTGGCCTCAATATTTGCGACACTTTGCAAAGTATCTGTGAAACATGTGCCACTCTGCTCGATTGCAATTTCAATGCCCAAAATAATTGGCCGTTTGACCATTGTTTTGTTTCCGAACTAGTCAGCTCCTTACAATGGGAATTCCTTGAGCATATCAACCACTCTCATGCTGCAAGTGTTGATGAGTTCTTCCACCCCCAAGAAACTAAGAATCCATCCGAAATTGGTTTGGGTCAACTCACACAATGCCCTCAGGTTTCCTCCATTTCCTGCTGTGAATTTCACTGTCACAGCAAAACAAAACTCATCGAAGGATATTTTATCCAGAGCATTTTATCCAGAGCTGGAATCGGTCAAATATGGCGCTGACGGCCTTAACAGCAAATCCTTGTTCAAGAGAGGCACTGAGACTTCATGAGCATAGATAGACATTGTCATGTCCATGTATTTTTTGTCTGTCATATTTTATTTAAATTGTTTTGATTTGCGTGTACTTATGAAATCAGGGCCGTTATCCAGACAATATTGACAGTGACTTATAAAAATCAGTACTTAAGTTAAACAGTTGATAGCAATGCCTCCAGGTTCAGAAAAACTAGGGACCGGTTGCACTGGAATGGGTTATTTTGCTGTCAAAAATTGGCAAAATGTTGTTCCATTTATAAATACACAACTCTTAAGGGAAAGTGAGGTTTCTTCTGAAATGAAAGTTTTCTACTGATTGATTGCAGCTGAATGTTTTTGCCAAGTAGGTTCCCTTTTGTATTCAGTATTGGCCATATTTGTTTAGATTTTTGAGAAGCGTTTTTCGGTTTTGTGACAAATTTAGCTTTTGGGGGGGGGTTGTATGACACATTGTTACTCATGACTTTGCCAAGCTTGTGAAAGGGTTGAATGCAATGCATCGAACGTTTTAATGAAATTTTAAATTCATCTCATTTTAGCAATTCATTTATTATAAATTCAGACACCACTGTGTCGTCTTATTTAAAGGATATTTTGACACTTCTCTTGCACCATTTTAAGGGCGTTTTAGGCACAATTTGTTTTGTTTTTGTTGTGATTTTTATTAGTATTGACTTAGTATATACACTGGAAAGCGAAAGAAACTTGCCACTTCTGTCGAAGGCCACACATAAAAATTCACTCCATAGAAATAAAACAATTTTTGAACACAGGTATGCTGCAATACCCCTTACTAATCACATGCCCAAAAGTAAGTGATTATCTTTATAACAAAGAAGAAATTGACATGCACAGCAACTCGGTTACTGAATCAAAAGTCACTGAATGCAACAAAATGAGTCTTTAAGTTTTACGCAGAAATCAATGTCACAGGACGAAATAAAGCAGTCACAATCATTACTTTTCAATAATGTGTAAGCATAGTCAGTAAGGATGGCATCCCTATACAGAAACCACTCATGCACCTCATTTTGACAAAACAGGTGTTCACTTTGTCATTGGTTGTTTAAAATCGTCCATTCATGGGTCATTTTTGCTTGGTGGAGAGTGCTTTTGATTCAGTGACTAAGTTACTTTGCAATGGAGGCGAACTGTGATATAGTATGGCCAGGATCCAACTTCAGCCGAACTCTAAAATTACTGCTTGTGCTTCAAACGAACGACCCAGCTTCATAATAAGGTTGTATTTACCTTATCCAAGCTTGTTTGTAATCCAGTAGGCTACGGGCGACAGCAGCTTTTAAATTAATTTGGATGCATGCCCTTGAACACGAATGTGGTGGTTTTGGGTAACAATGGAAAAATTATATTGCTTGGCTGCAACGCGGCGGTATATGCTGGATTTAATGTGTCTTTTGTGGAGACTTCCAAGTTTTGTGTTCCATTTCATTAGCGAGGAAGGGAAAATCGAGGTTGTTCGTGGCCACACAATCCCCCTTCGCTTTCGTCTGTCGATTTGGAAATTAATATTAACAATGCCATCGTAGTGTGTTGTGTAATTGGTGCGGCGATTTCTCGATCTTGAAGGGGCTTGTAATTATTGGCAAATGACGCGCATCACGCGACCGACTCAGCAGCGTCAACTTCATGCCGAGTAGTTGGGGGTCGATTGGGGGATGATGAAATCCTAAAATTGCCCAACAGATGTGGAAATGTAAAACAAAACGGTACCGGTATAAGGCAAACGAGGTACTTTTTTAAGAATTGTATCGTTGGTTTTTCCTTTTTTATTGGGCCTTGGTGTTTTGCTGTTGCAAACTGACGTGAAATATGCAATAGTAGTTTTTTCCACCTTGCCGACCAAAGCATGTGTGGGCCTGTGGGGGGGGTGGCTGAGGTCAAAGAGCGCCCTCCTTGCCCGCCAAAAAATGCGGGAGTGTATACCCTGACAACCCCCATTTATTTTTGCCTGCACTGGCTCTGCTGTTTGCATGGAACATTTAACGTTGGCAACCAACGGCTGTTTGCTGTGTCTTATTCTGCGCACAACTGAGTGCATGTGTCAATAACTTTGCTGGGTTGGCTTGGCTTGCATTGGCTTGCATTGGCTTGCCTTGGCTTAGGACGGATTTGGACGGCTAACGAGGTTATGCCCTCCCCCACTTCGGAAAAAATGAGAGAAATCCGTTTTGGGGCCATGTATTTTGTTCCCTCCCTTCCGAAAGCGTGTAAAATGCCCAAAAATGCACGGTCTCCCCTCAGAAAGGCCATACAAAAATACATGAAAAATTCCCCATCCCAAAAAAAAGCAAATTAACCCCCCCCCCCAGAATTTGGTTTTGCATCCGCCCTTGGAACGAAAAAAAAACCACGTAATCCCCTGTTTAGCAGCTTCCATAGAGGGGTATTTGTTTCCATGACACCATGGACGTTGCGAGAGGAAGGACCAAGGGTTGG